GAGCTATGTAATATCCCTTTAAAACTAAGTAGAGATCATAAATCAAATTAATGACAAAACTGAGAATAAAATCCATGACAAATCATTCCTCCATGTATAACCACAGAGGTTGTTCTGTTATGTTTAATGAAATTTAGGGGAAAAAAAAGAGTATTTGATCTTTTAAAAAAACAAGTAGTTCCTGGCCAGCATGGTGCAACCCCATCTCTACTAAAAATACAAAAATGAGCAGGGCATGGTGGTGCATGCCTGTAGCCTCAGCTACTCGGAAGGCTGAGGCAGAAGAATTGCTTGAGCCTGGGAGGCAGAGGCTGCAGTGAGCCGGGATTGTGCCACTGCACTCCAACCTGGCGACACAGTGAGACTCTGTCTCAAAAAAAACCAAGTAGGAAATAAATTATACATGTAGGGAGGTTAAACGATACTATTTTGTGGCTGTTAACCACTGGAGCAAGATGTGCTAAACCTTGTAAAATAACGAGGTAACACTGCTAGTAAATGCTAGTAAATGTAAAGTCAGGGATTTGATATTAAAGTCAGAACACTTGCTTTTTTGGTGTCAGCTAAGATGGAGAAGGTAATCATAGCTTCTCTCTCCTACTGATTGTTGATGGAGTACACAGTGATTACCCGATGACTTTGAATGTAAATAATGGCAGGCAGATTTGGGACTGAAGTCATAACTTGAGTAACAGCCTTAATGGGGCTAGGCCTTGTTGTGGAGCTGCTATACCATAATGACAACAATGTTAGCAACTGAAGCCCACATAGAAGATGAATCTCTTTAGTTAATGGAAACAAAAAAAAGGAGCCCATATTGTCTAAAGAACTGAGATAAGAGGAATCTCTTTCTCTCCTTTTTCTTTTCTTTTGCTTCTTTGTCTCTTTGCAATTATGTAGTGTACAACTACGTAGTGTGCAACTACATACAACTATGTAGTGTGCAATTACATAATTGCAAAGAAAGTTAATGCTGTGTAAGAAACCTCTCTGGCCAGAATAACTAGGAATGGCATACGCTGGAAGCTGGAGAGTGGGGGGAAATTAGCTGGAGGGTGGGGGGAAATTCTTGGAAAAAAGAGAGCTAAAGAAGGTGGATCCCCTAATTTTGTATATGAATTGACACAAGTTCCAGGGTCACCCCTGAGCTATGAATACATGGGACAGTCTAAAGAAGTACAAGAAAAGCTTTTGAAAAATAAAAATAGTATATACTGCTGCCCAAGCCTTAAACTAACAGGAGTTAGTTTAGTTAATGGTTCATGTACTGGGCTGACACTAACAATATAGCAAAAGCTGAGCCATTATTCACAGAAAGTGAGACAGAATTTATAATCTGAACCCAATCAGATCAATTGCTAAAACCAGCTAATTAAAATAACCCAGAGGATTTTAACAGGAGTTAAATAATTGACTTATAATGTAGTATTCCAATTGTCCAGAATATAATCCAACATTTCTCAACATAGAAAGAACAAGGAAAATTTGACCAGTTCTCATTGGAAATCAGCTGATGTCAACCCCAAGGTGAGCCTGATGTTGAAATTGTCAGAATAATAATTTTAACCAGTTATTATAACTATTCTCCATGACATAAAGGGCAATATTTTTGAAATAAAAATAAAAATACAAGTTCTTAACAGAGAAATGGAAACCATTAACAAAAAAACCAAATGGAGAATTTAGAACTAAAAATACATCTGAAATAAAAACCACTAGGTATGCTCAAAGGCAGAACGAGGATGAAAGAGGGGAAAAGTCAGTTAATTTGAAGATAGATCATAGAAATAACCTAAAAATAATACAGAGAAACAAAGACTTTAAAAATTATCAGAGCCTCAGGGATTTATGTGACATTACCAAAAGATCTGAAATTCATGTCATTGGAGTAGCAGAAAAAAGTAAATTTTCCAAATTGGCTAAAGACAAATTTACGGAATCATAAAGCTCACTGAATCCAGAAGGATAATCTAAAAGTAAACTACACTCAGATACATCATAATCAAATTGCTGAAACCAAAGCTGAAGAAAAAGTATCTTCAAAGCAGCCAGGGAAAATTGCCACTACACATAAAGAAACAGCAACTCGAATGACTGCTGATTTCTTTCCAGAAACCATGGAGCAAATGATAGTGGAATTAAGATTTTTTGTTAAATGCTGAAAGTAAAGAACAGTCAACCCAGATTTCTGTATCTAGTGAAATATTCTTCAGAAGTAATATGGAGATAAAGATATTTCCTAAGGAAAAAAAGCTAAGAAAATGTTTTGTCAGCAGACCTGCTCTAAAAACTCAAACAAAACAATGATCATCACTTAGGAGTTACTATGAGTCAGCTGTTTTAAGTGCTTTAGATGGATTAATTCACTTTATGCAAGAAATTTGGTACTATTAACATCCTTATTATACAGATAAGAAAACAAAAACAAAAACAAAAGACATTAAATAGCTATTAACTGACTGTGCCATAGTAGAACACAAGCAATCTGGGTTCAGAGATGAAGCTCTTAACCATTACTTCATAATATCTCCCAACTTAGTTATATAAAAAATCTGGGCCGGGCGCGGTGGCTCAAGCCTGTAATCCCAGCACTTTGGGAGGCCGAGGCGGGTGGATCACGAGGTCAAGAGATCGAGACCATCCTGGTCAACATGGTGAAACCCCGTCTCTACTAAAAATACAAAAACATTAGCTGGGCATGGTGGCGCGTGCCTGTAATCCCAGCTACTCAGGAGGCTGAGGCAGGAGAATTGCCTGAACCCAGGAGGCGGAGGTTGCGGTGAGCCGAGATCGCGCCATTGCACTCCAGCCTGGGTAACAAGAGTGAAACTCCGTCTCAAAAAAAAAAAAAAAAAAATCTGGAGGATATTAAGTTGTCCAAATAGCAGGAAATCATTTCAAACAGATGTAATGCTTTAAACATTTATTTTTATTTAATGCTGCTCTCTAGACATAAAAATAGGAAGATAAGGCACCAACTTGATGCATTAATTTACTTGAGAAAAGCATGCTATAGAACTATGGTAAAACACTATTTATCCATAGTAACCATAACAACAAACATTTTTAAAGTACTTACTATGTATCAGAATTTGTTTTAGGGGCTCAGGATGTAAAAAAGAATAAGATAAAGCTCCTGTCCTTAAAAATTTTCTACAAACTAGGTAATACAGACAAGCAAATAATTAATTATAATATAGCATGACATGTTCTATAGCAGAAACATGTACAAAGCCAAAAGTGCATACAAAATAGAAAGGCTGTAGAAAGGAAGCACCAATCTAATCACGGCTATTATAAAAATAATAATTTTAATGAAGCCTTTGAGAAGCACAAAAAAAGAACATTCAGGGAAATATCCCCTTTTCTGTAACTAATGTAAACTACTATGTCTTTTCCAAAATTTGTAAATATACTTTCAGTTAAATCAGCACTGCAGAGACAGAAAAGCCAGAAGGTGCTCTGATGCTGTTTATGTGTGTTAATTTTCAAAGCCTTCAGATAAAGATGAAGGACTCATTCCAAAGTAATTAGAATCAGCTCCTGCTAATTAATGTTCCACTCACTCAGCAGTCTTAAGAGGCTACAAAAGGAAGAAAAAAATTAATTCAGAAAAACCTTTCAATATAACAGAATGTGATATTTCTATACTGGATCAAGAAAGCTATATTCAATTTGAAGAATTACCTTAACAGTTGCAAAGAATAATTTCTCCATTTAAACTGTGGGATCCTTAAGGGAGGACCATGAATTATTTTTCTTTCTATCCTTAGAATCCCTTAGGCTTAATATGGGGCTTGGCAAAAAGCATATTATTTTGTTTACCGAATTAAAATTTTATTACAAAAGAATTAGTAAGAGATGAAGTTTAATTCTTTCTTGATGTTATTGCTTGTATACCAGAAAGAGCTTTTTTATGTTTGAAAACTACTACTTAATTCTGTAGGATAAAAGGGATCCCCTGACCTCATTTGTGTTGGTAATATAAGTAATGGTTAAAAAAAGAACACTATAAATGAATCAACTGGAGTTCCTTAAAGGCCAGCATGGACTGTTAACTTTAGAGTCTCTATCATGCTACTTTAATTCTTTATTTGCTTTTACTAAAATTAAATGTTATAGTACATATGCCAGCAAAGAGAATATAGTAACTAATGACCCATTCATAATCTCCTGTATCTGTGCTTCAAGTGGCTGCCACTGATGGGATATAAACTTTGTTTATGTAACAGAAAGGACATTACAACTCATATTCCATACTAGTCAATGGATATATTTAATTTTATATTCGTATTGCACACAGGATACATAAATGGCTATAAATTATGAAACCCTGAAACTATACAGTTGCTATGTATTTTTAGGTTGCTCTGAGATCAACTGTCTATTAATTAATGCTCATTAAATCAACAGATTCTAAGTTGACACATCCATCTTTAAGTGATGTAATTGTCCTCATTTAGGGGATCTAAATCTAAGAGTTGCTTAAATAGTAGCAAATAATTACCATTAAATCAAGGATGGATATTGACATCTATGTCAACAAAGGCATAGTTTTAGGCAAAATAACTTGTAAAAACAAGTTATTTTAATAAACTCTGCAGTTTAGTTTTATTAAATTAGTATTTACCTACAATTAATGGATACCAACTGATGATTATAAACAATAAAAAAACAAAATAACTTTACATAGTAATAAACTGGATTCTCTGGGTTAGAGATTGACAACTTTTACCAGTAGTAATATAACAGTCTCTGAAAAGGTTAACAAGCAAAAAAAAAAAAAAAAAAAAAAAAAAAAAAAAAAAAAAAAAAAAAAAAAAAAAAAAAAAAAAAAGTGAATTCGGAAAATTGTGGCTGACAGATTACCAAAACTCTTAACTCTGGAAAAAAGGGCAAACTTAAGTGTTAAGACTAAAGTTTCTTAGGTTTATCAATATAGCGTATTGATTAGTGGTATGGAATTAACTTTCTTTGCAACATGTCGGTGACTTTCTTACCTAGAGAGCATGCCCAGAGGTGTAACATTAAGTGATCCCATCAGCATTGCCAGGGCCATCCCTGGCGCTTCCCGTTCTATTACTTCTTTTGTGGCCTGTAATTAAAGATTAAATAGCAGACTGAGTGAAATTAGCCAAAAAAGAATGAAGTCAGAGTAGTAAAACCCACTTAAAAATGATTATAAACCAGGCTTTCGATAATATTTTAATTTCCAAAACATTTATCTTTTGAGGCATCCAGACTCAATTCTCAAGGACCACTGAATAAAAGCTGAGGACCAAGAAAATAAAGAAAAATTTTATATCAGCAGTCCTTTCATATTTCTTATAGCTCAGAAGTATTTGATAGAAATCTTATCTCACTAGTAACCTAAATTCCAAAAATGAGGCCTCAGATTGCTATAACAACTTAGTAGATTTTTCACAGGGTAATTTGGGTATTTTCCTTTGTCTATTACTCTTGAAATAATTAGTCCCTGAAAACCTGAGATCATCCATCTCTCTCCTAGCAGTATGCTTTTAAAAGGATCTCAAGAAGTCATCATGTCAACTTTCCCCATGTACTGGCTAGAGGAAAAATTCTACATTTACCATGTTCTGAAACTTTAATATAAATTAACTGTCTTTTTTTAATAAAAGGAAGTTAAGGGCTTCACCTTTATACCAACAGTTTTAGGATAGGGCATTCTTTTTTTTTTTTTGAGACAAAGTTTTGCTATTTTTGCCCAGGCTGGAGTTCAGTGGTGTGACCTCCGCTCACTGCAAACTCTGCCTCTAGGGTTCAAGTGATTCTCCTGCCTCAGCCTGCTGAGTAGTTGGGATTACAGGTGTGCACCACCAGGCCTGGCTAATTTTGTATTTTTAGTAGAGATGGGGCTTCACCATGTTGGCCAAGCTGTTCTGGAACTCCTGACCTCAGGTAATCTGCCCACCTTGGCATCCCAAAGTGCTGGGATTCCAGCTGTGAGCCACCATGCCCGGAAGACAGGGCATTCTTAAGATGAGTATTGTTAAGCCTGGAATACACTAATGAATGAGACAGGAAAATTTCATTTTCGAACGGTCAATCAAAATTGGTATATATCTTACTGTAAGATACATTTTAGGCTAAAAGTTGGGTGTGAAATACATGACTTAATCCATTTACAGTCCTCTGTTTCCAAAATTTAAGTGTTACAATACTTGGGAGCAATACAAAAATGAAGTTTGCAAAATGAAGTGTTACAGTAAATAAGTAGAAAGGCAAATAAAAACTAAATTATGAAGGTAGAGAAAGGTTCGTATTTCAATATTTCTTTGAAAGTAGGATGATAGTCTTCAATAAGAATGTACCTCGGGGCAAAAGCAGTTAAAATGGATCAGGTATGTATTCCATACTAATTGATGTTATAAATAAAGTTTAGAATGCATATAAATTAGTTAATCCCTTCCAATTATAGAGAATACATTATTACCAGAATTGATGCAATTTACTGGTACAGTGAATCCTAGCATAATGCGGTATTTAACAATGGCAGACATTTTAAAGAAAAACTAACAAAAATATAATAATTCTGCTAGCATTATTTAATCTTTTTAAAATTAAAAAAAATTTTTTTTTGAGGTGGAGTCTCTCTCTGATGCCCAGGCTGGAGGGCAGTGGCAGGATCTTGGCTCACTGCAACTTCCGCTTCTCAGGTTCAAGCGATTCTTCAGCCTCAGCCTCCTGAGTAGCTGGGATTACAGACATCCATCACTATGCCTGGCTAATTTTTGTATTTTTAGTAGAGATGGGGTTTCACCATGTTGGCCAGGCTGGTCTTGAACTCCTGACCTCAGGTGATTGCATGTCTCGGCCTCCCAAAGTACTGGAATTACAGGCATGAGCCACTGTGCCCAGCCTAAAAATTTATAAATTTTTTAAAAAAAATTTTCTTCAAGCTCTGGGATACATGTGCAGAATGTGTAGGTTTGTTACATAGGTATGCATGTGCAATGGGTCTGTTGCACCTATCAACCCATCATCTAGGTTTTAAGCCCTGCATGCATTAGGTATTTGTCCTAATGTTCTCCCTTGTCTTCCCTCCCAACCCCCGACAGGCTCCAGTATGTGTTGTTTTCCTCCCTGTGTCCATAGTTCAACTCCCACTTATGAGTGAGAACATGCAGTGTTTCATTATCCGTTCCTGTGTCAGTTGTTGAGACTGATGGTTTCTAGCTTCATCTATGTCATTATACAGTCTTTATTACTTTTTTTCCAAAGTTAATCATCTGTTATGATTTTGAGACTTACTGAGAGGAAACACTACTTCTATGTTATAAATTGCTTTAATGACGTTTACAACTTCTCAGGGATGTTAAAATTAGAACCCTAAACATCAAGCAAAGGGATGTCATTGATAACAATACTAAACAAACTTCTTGGATAGAATTAATATTTATTTCATTACTTGCTTGAAAAGGTTATATAAGCAATGGTTGACATTTAATGAATTTGGGGCTTCACATATAGACGATACATCCCAAAATATAGTAGCATACGTTATTTAGGGACATGAAGGGAAATATCAACAGATAGCTGAGAGGGAGTATTTCCCTTAAAATTGATACTTCAAAGCACAACATTTATCCATTTAATAACAAATATTTATTAAGCATCTACTATATACTAGGTAGTATCTGAGGTACTGATGTTGCCGTAGTGAATAAAACAAACCTCAGAGAGTGTGTAAGTTCACTGTCACCCAGCACATGAAAAACTCAATTGACAAATGATACATGAGAATTGCCTAAAAGAGATGTGGTTCATTAATTTTTCTAAATCCTCTAAAACACACCATTGGATTTGGCCAGGTCACTGGATAGGATCTATTCTGAATGCCTGATTTCACTTTTTATAGAATTGTTTTATTGGGCTTTGCTTTTGTGGTAGGAAATTAGAGTCAATAAAATGGTCCAAACTCTTATTTACATTGGGAAGTATCTGAATTGTTCACCACATTACATTGTGGTCTTTAGAAGGACCTAGAGGAGAAATTTCCTCTCAAGTATCATAACTAGGAATGGGTACTCTTCTATGTTACCAGTTGTTTTTAAATTACAATGCTTGTGAATCAAGTTATCCTTGAGAACAGAGAAAAATTTGTGGATACTTTTGAGTAGGCTTACTTAACACAACTTTAGTTTCATCTGATTTTTCCCTGTCCTATTCTTCCCTTTTATCTTTTAAAAAATTCTGCTGTATTTATGTATTTGGGTAAGCCATCTAAAATATTTTTCAGGGTATAAATAAATATATAGATGGATGAATCAAATGAGGTACAGTTGCTCTCCATATTGCTGGTTCCAGATCTGTGGATTCAACCAACTGAGGGTCGAAAATACAGTATTTAGGGATTCTGCAGGGCCGACTGTATTCTTTACAAAGTTCTCCATCTTTCTCTAAACATAATTCAGGCAGGACAAGTAATTCTTTCTGATGATGTTCTAAATAATTTGAGCATATAGACCAAACCTTATATATTTTAGAACATAAAAGAAAAAAATATATCATGGTAATGCCACTGAAAGGCACTAGTGCTGATGGTGGTGTGTTGGTTGGGGCAGGCAGATGTTAGACTCTCTGTACTAGATAAAAACTGATATTTTCAATAGGGTATTCCTAAATAATGCACAAATACAGTCTTTCTCACATCTATAGCAAACATTTTCATAAAACATTAGAACCTTTCTATTTCCCTTTTATTTTCTCTTCCTGTTAAGCTGTTTGGTATAGTAAACGATCATCCTTTATGAAGTCAGACAATGCTACTACACAGTTAAGGTCAATAACAAGAGGAGTTGGATCTATTTCAGCATCTAGTACAGAGCCTAACATATAGTGTATGCTCAACAAATATTTGTTGAATAAAGAAGTGGAGGAATAAATGAACGAATCTAGATTTGAAACTTGGCTTTACTACATAGATGCTCTGTGAATTAGAAGAAAATATTTAACCTCTCTAAGTTTCCAGAGCACTTATGAATATAATGGAGGTGATAATAAAATATACCGACACCTGATAAGAGGGCTATGAAAATTAAATGATAAATCACTTAACATAGAGTAGGTATTCAGTACATGTTAGTTCTTTCTATGTTTCTACTTTCCAATTCTTATATCCTTGCAGTTCTGCACATATCGGAGAACAGAAATAATACAAAAATCCAGCAACTACCTGAAAACAGTAGTAGCGAACCAAAGATTAAGAAAGAGAATGGAGAGCAAGAACCCAGATGCAAGAACATTGGCAAATGCCAGGTAGAAGGTAGAATACTGAAATTAGGGATCTAAATTGGGGAGCAGGCAGCTGAATGAGGTGGGGACTGGAAGATGGACAAGAGAGCAAGAGCTGAATACAAAGATCTGTAAACCATAAATGGGAAGATACAACTAGAAAACAAAGAATAAGAGAATAAAACTTAATTACAAATATAACAAGAGAAAGATATCTTTATTAGAAAATGTAAAGAGAAAAATGGTTTTAAGAATGTAGCTTTATCACTTTCAATTACATATACTAGTACAGTGCAGACAAGTAAAGGTTATCTGTATCTCTTAATGATTAGATGACAAATTCCTTATAACAGGCTATTCATTATCAATGCAAAAATATGTCATTAAAAAAAAGCTTGAAACCATTTTTTCCTCAACTAGCTTAAAGTTCTGTTTCCCTCTTTCGTATACATTATTAATTTGGTTATCAAATTCTTTTATTCCTTAAAAGACGACAGAAATTTATCATCTTACTTCAGCTATCAGTGTTTCTAAACTAGGTCTAAAATATAAAAGATTAATTGGATTTATTTATTCTTTTTAAACAAGATATTTATCTTTAACGTCTAAATATTTGTCCACTATGAAAGTTGCAACCTTCTGTGAAAAAAATCAAATAATTGTGATCGTTTCCTTTTTCTCTTGATACTTTGAGGATAATACTAAAGTCAGAAAGACCCTTCAAAGACTGCTAAGTTGTAAAAACAGTGTTATAAACAATGGTTCAATAATTCAGGTATCTTGTTGATGAAATTGTTCATATTTTAACTTCTTAGGAAAAATGACCTTAAAGATATTGCC